GAACAACATAAAACTAATATTAAGCAATAGCAATGCGATAGTTGCCTCTCCCTCCCTTTCTCCCCTTCTCCATCTCTCTGTCTCTCTCACGCTTTGTTGTTTCTCTACTGCTGTTTTTGTTGAGCTGTCGCCGCCTGGCTTCGTCGTCCTTAAGACAATGATGGGCACACGCCATTCCAATGCCCCCCAAGGACATGCAATAAAATTGCGTCTTAATGCTACGCCAACTGTCGAAGGATCTGTTCTTTTCTGCTTGCTCTACTTCTTTTACTTGTCCCTTTTTTTTCTCTTGTATAGTAGAGAGCTTTAAAAGTCGCTCATGAAATGTATGTAGATAAAGTATGTTTCACATACTTTCTTATCCATCTTCGGTGGCCTTGCAAAACTATTCGCATTGCTGAAACTCAGTCAACTTTCATGTTTCCATTTGATATAGTGACATCAGAGGATTTGAGGGAGGCAGCTAACATAAAGACAGACTTCATTGTTCAACAAAATAATTTCCAAAGAATTCCTATAACCTGTAACCTATAACCTAGAAAGTTAAGTTAAACTATAAAAATGTTACAGCAATTATATACATATATGGGTAAGCAATTTTTTTGATAATGCTATCTATATATGTATATTATATAAATATCTATCTAAAAGCTTCGGTGCTTAAGCTTTTCTCTTTTATTTTTGATATCCTTGCTGAAATGCTTAATATCTACAATTCAATGATTGCATTCCTTGAGCTATCTGCCTCTTTAAATACCCAAACAGCATACCCTACACCTCATATATGTATGTATATTCTGTAAGCCTTAGCTAAAGCAGCCTAGACTTAAATTTTATACACAAATTTTTATATTTCTTTTTTCTTTGTACTTTACTTTTGTTGCTTGGGTTGCTCGTTTGTCCTTCGCATTGTTTAATAACATTTTATTTGCATATTTTTATGGCAAATATGAATTTTATGTGCTGCTCGATTTCAGAACACGCCAGCCAAATGGACAACAACAGCGCCGTGGCTCAAATCCGAGCCCCAGAGGAAAAGCGTGGCAAAGAAAGTTTTCTGCTTCTTCTACTCATACAAATATATATATATATGATATATATATATGAAATAAATTTGAGCCAAATGTGAAGTGAAGCAAGCGCAAATAATTTTTGCCAGCGACAACAACAACAATAAAGAAAATTGTGTGAACAGCGAGTAGGAAATGGAAAAGCTCTGGCCAAACAAACATAAAAGTGCAAAGCAATTCTCAAGTGTTTCATGCCGTTAAGTCGTGGGCCTTTGTGCGCTTTACTTTTGCATTGGCATTGAACAAAATGCCTCAACAAAGAGTGAGAGAGAGAGAGAGAGAGAGAGAGAGAGAGAGAGTACAAGCGAGTGTGATCTTTAGTACCAGAATTGCTCCCACGCTTCACTTCTCCATTGTGAGTTAATATTTTGGACAATTGATTCAATTAAATATGTGAAGCGACATGCAATTCGGATAGTTCAGTTGAGTGCATTAGGGGCGACAAGAGGCGCATGTTATATATACCATAAAGCAGCTATATCTAGCTAACACAAGCACACACACACACACACACACACACACAGAGTCAAAGAGACAGCCAGAGTCCGGTGCAAATCTCCGCTTAATTTGTGCACAAATGATTTGTCTGCGTCCGCACGCATTTCCATGCATTGTGTGTCTTTGTGTCTGTGTGTGTGTGTGTTGGGGGCGGGCGAGAGGACGGGATAACTGTGGCATGTTGCAACAAATGAACACAACTGCATTGTGCGCCCGGGGGAATTTCTGTGGTCACGAACTTCTCTGACTGACATGATGAGCCGCTGCCAAGCGGAAGTCGACCGCGACTGCAATTCCAATTCCAATTCCAATCTCAATTCCAATCCCAATTCCAGCCTGAATTGCCGCTTAACTCGTCGCAGYATTTGAGCAAACTCAACTCGAGCCAGCTTTATTTACTTTAAATTCAATTAAAGTGTAAATTATAATAGCCTATTAAATCACATGCCCTAAAAATATTTATCTTATTTAAATGCGGGAAAATTAAAAAAAAAAAATAATAATAATAATAATAATAATAAAAGAAAAAAAAACTTGTATATTAAGATATACACGTGTATAGAAATTGTAAATTCTCTGAGAGATAAATTATAAATATTTTAAATATTTTATTTTATTTTGAACAGACTCTTTATTTCTCTAATTTTCACAAATCTCTCTATTTTCGGAATATTCATAATATACTTTTTTTCTCATATACAAATTTTAATTAAACAAAAATTCTTTTTTATAACAAATATTTCTCTCCAATTTCTGAATGTAAATAAATTCATTTAGTTCTCTAAAAATGTGTGTTTATGATACATAAATCAAACCTTATGGAATTTTTGTTGCCTCGCTTAAACGCGTTGAGTGCGTCTCTTTGTTTATATAAACAAATCAAATTATTTTTAAATGCTGTTGAAAATCAAACAAGCGCAGCAAACGAAGCAAGCAAAAGCTAAAATTCATTTAGGAAAATCCAACATGTTTTTATTATCATTTTATTACTATTTTTTTTTTTTTTTTTAGGTATCCCCTACGCATTGAATGCGAGGGTTTATTGCGTATTGAGTTTATGTAACAGGCGAGATGAGAGGTAAGCGAAATCATATACATGAGACAAGCTAGGCTTTAAACTGAAGTGTGTTATCGATATTTATCGATGTCGTGGATACAGAAATGTAGCACCCATATGTCAGTCTGGTTGTTAACGCATTTGGTACTTAGCAGAGATCAGCTTTGCTTCATTTACAACTTTTTTGCTTTCACGATATTGATAAATATCGATTAAACACTACATACGTAGATTCTTATATTGTCTACCCAATGTCACAACAATATTTGTCTCTACATATTCACTAGCTAAGAAAGAGTATCTCCTAGTCGAACACTCCCACTCACTTATCATTTTCGGCTTTTGGTGCTGCTTTTTTTTTTATAAATCCATATAAATCTCAATCTAAAATGCAGTCTCCGCACTGAATGAATTTTTTTTTCGACGGAATTGCGTTTGGCCAGCTGTGTGCATCTGTGGCCATTCTATGGCCATTCCATGCCATATAAATAAACCCCCTGATTGCAGTTGGAGCACCGCAGAACAGAATTTTTTTTAATAGAACTGTACGAAATAGAGCTGAGTGGAGGCAAACCAAATTCCACACTTTTTTTTATGAGGCTGGGTAACTCAGCAGCGATTACCATCATCATCAACATCATCATTTTTTTTTGCAGCGTGATGATCATGATGATATGGCATTTTGTGGTATGATGTGATAGGTTTTTTTTACTTAGTTATAGTCATGATTGTTGTTGCTTTAAGTGTGATAAATCGACAGTTTTTTTTAACGAAATTTGTGTGCGTGTTTTTTTTCTATTTTTTTTTTTTTTTTTTTTTTTTTTTTTTTTTTTTTTTTTTTTTTTGCCCCAATGACAAAATAAAAACAAATAAATAAAATTTGTAACAACGGGAATATACGATAGATTGCATACACTTTCAAAATGAGAACTTTTAATTTTAAGTGACTTTTCTAACATGAAATATATGTGTAAAAAATAATACTTGTATTGAGATAATTGAGGTACGACATTAAGCTATATAATCATCTATATGTTTCCTTATACTTTTCCTTCACTATTAATATATCTTTCTCTTTCTCTTTCTTTTAAAAACCTCTGTCTTTTCTTTTTCTATATATATCTCTCTGCCTCTCTCAGTCAATCTGATCTGTAATTCACTAAGCGCCTATATCAGCCTCTTTGTCTCTCTGCCTCTCACTGTTGCTCTTTTGTTTTCCGCCCCTTACGATCTCTGTTTCTCTTGCTTCTTCTTTCTCCCCCACTTTTTCATTTTCTCTTCTCCTCTCTATCTCTTTTTCTCTCTCTCTCTCTCTCTCTCTCTCTCTCTCTCTCTCCCTCTCACTCTCTTTTTCTGTCTCAGTTTCTCTCTCAATTTCACTATCTCTAGAAAGACAGACCCTAAGGAAAATATAAACTTTACTTACATGAAAACTCAACACAATATACCAAATACCCCAATGCTAGGGTATATAAACTACAAAAAATGTAAACAAATTTAACTAAAATAATAAAGTAAAATAAAATAATTTCCCGCTGATGAAACGTAAGCAGCGCAAGAAGAAGCAAGAAGAGCAGCAGCTACCTAATGTGTACTTTAGCCTGAATAAAAAAATGTCTTTTCATCAGAATTTCAAATGTTGCGCGCTGTCAAAGTATGCGAGAGTGTGTGTGTGTGTGTGAGTGACAGTGTATTAGTGCGTCTGAGTACAGGTGTGTGCGCGAGAGTCGCCCGAGCGGAAGTTATGGAGCCTACGTGCCAAAAAAAAACACACACACACACACTTATACGCAGATGCAGGTATATATATATATATGTACATAATTGTGCTTGTGTATGTCTATACGAAATTTCACTTTCGCTGCTGTGGATGATTTTTTTTTTTTTTTGTCGCTTTTCCTGTTTTTCTCGACAGGTAGCACAAGCGGGCAGACATTGAGGCAGCCATCGCGGCAGCCACTCGATAAACCACCAATACATGCAGAATCCACAATATGTGTGTGTGTATGTGTATGTGTGCCTTACATATACATCAATGTGTATATAAACAGCCAAATTATGAATTTGTAGGACACTTTCACCTGCCTCCCATTTCTCTCCTGTGTATGTGTGTGGATGTGTGCGTGTCGATATGTGTGTAAGCATCTGTGTGTGCGTGTGTTTGCTGCAAATTGCTAAAGACTTTACGGATCAAGGAACCCATCAAAAATCGTTAAATGCAAAAAATCGGCAACACAATAAGCCGCTCTCTTTCTCTCTCTCTCTCTCTCTCTCTCTCCTTTACGGCATCTCCAGCGATGCCCCCACTTGTTAGGCAGCGGCAACAGAGCAGCTTTAAGTCGATAACATCCGTCCCATACAAAGGATTTACTTACCTTGAGCTTTTGTGCGTTGCGTACTAACTTAGATCTCAAGGTTTTCTCTCTCGCTCTTACTCTGTGTCTCTTTTACTCACTCACTGCCGAACTACATGCCACTATTTAAGTATTTTCCTTTATTTATTAATTTTAATTATATTTATTTATTTGTATTTTATGCGTTTTCCTGCTGTAAAAATTTGTTGTTTTTTGTTTAATTATTACACCGTTATTCGATTAAAATTTAGTGACACCTCAACTTTGTATTCCACACAAACGAGAAGTCCGTGTGTGTCAGTGTATGTGTGTGTTTTGATATACACTGCAATTTACTTGTGTATTGTTTTTATTCCTTTTTTTTTTTTTTTTTTTTTTTTTTTTTTTTTTTTCGCACTGAAATCTGTCGTCGATTCGCCGCTGGGCTAGCAGTTGCTCGCAGAGCTTCTGTTCATTACACGACGATGTCTCTAGCTAAACTGAAGTGAAAAACCATCGCAATGCGTACTTTAAACTGTGCTACAAAACATACGGACTATGCGACCTGCCTGCGCTCGGCTTTTCGCTCTTTCGGCTCTCGTTCGCTTTCGCTCTCGTGCGGCTCGTTCAACACAGGCAGCGAGCCCTGCATTGTGGGACTAAGTTACTTTCCCTTCAACCAAATTAGTTTTATAGGGGTTTTTCTTTTGTTTTTGATAAAAATCAATTAATGAAGTATGTTCAAATTTAATGACTAAAACAATTTGTTATATTTAAATTATAAATAACTTGAAACTAACAACAATTCATTTATGTTTTAATAATAATTAAGTTTAATAAGGCAAACTATAACGACGCGTAAATTGTATATATCTGCACGTATATAACTATACCAATTATTTGAATTTTCATTCTATCCTAAATTTAATTTTACAAAATCATCATTTTTCAGTTGAGCTGCATTTCACTGCATTGCCCCACTGTACACAGTGACTGGCTAACTGACTGACTGTCTGGCCATAATCATCGTTCACGCTTATTAGGAGCGACGGTGGCGTTACTCTGGCACTAGGTCTTGGTCTGCAATGCTCTGCTCGCAACTGTTATACGGCAAGTCGTTGCGCTGTTTTCGTCTCCATCGCTACGCCTTTCTGTATTATGCCCAAGAAGCTTTTTTTCGCATGCTCTCTTTGTGTTTGTTGTTTGTTTTTGTTGGCAACTTTTGGCAGTCGGTGCCGCCGCTCAGCACTTTGCCCCTCAAATTTTGCGGCTTTTGCTGCTGTTGTTGTTGCTATCTTATTTGCACGCGCTCTCTCTCTCTCCCTCTCTCTCTTTCGCTCTCTCACACTCACTCTTCGCCTTTGTGCCTAACAAAATTTCATTATCTCTAGTGGCCGTTTGTTTATTTATTTGTCGAGCATTTTACGTTTACTTCGTCTTGCAGAGAGGGGGCGAGTGAAAGAGAAAGACGGAGTTGGCACAACCAATGGCAATAATTCTGTTGTAACTTGACTAAATGTTGTCAAAGCTTTATAGCCAACATTCACATACATACGCATCTTGAAGTGCGTGTAAACATATACATATGCTATGCTAATACATTCACTGATATCCTCATCGTCTGCATCATTTACTATATTTCTAGTTTGTGCACATTCCGAGTGTGTTGTTACCACTGTAAGGCCCCCAAAAATCGATCGCACGTTGTCCGGTTTTATTACAAACACACGCTTACACAAGTAACGGCACACAAACTAACACAAACACACACTCACACACACAAAGCCTCTCACAGGATTTGTAACCTTTCCTTTTACAAACACAAACACAAAAGCAAAACGTTTGCAGCTGATTTTTTTTTTTTTCTTCTTCTTTTTTACCGCTAATTTATGCTACATAATTTGGAATTTCGGTAATCAGCTGTTGATTTAAATGCCACCAATTGGGCTGCTGATAAAACACAATTATTAAATAACGGCTAATTTTGGATATTGCGCCTCTTCGATATAATAGGTTTATAGTTTTATTGGCCTGTTCCATCGAGTATCGAATCAACAAAATATTCCTCTTACACACAAGTGCCGCACACACAACACAAGAGACGTGGACGACGACTCACGACAGAATGACGAGCGCTCAAATCGCAGTTGTCGGCGACTGCGACTGCGGCGCCAGTAACGGTCCAAAACAACAGCTGCAAATCGGCGTCGACATCCGCGGGATACGGCCACAACAACAGCAACAGCAACAACAACAGCTCCACACAAAATGCTCGGGGGACTGGAACAAAGAAAAGAAGTAAAATAAAAGAAGAGACGAAAAACAACTGTTATGAAAACATTAGGCGCAAAGCTTTCGGCTTCAGCTGTGTGCAAAAGCTTAGCCTTCTTCTAAAAATATCGCGTATAACAGTTTTGCAGCTTGCAGCTGGTTGTGTGCTTTTGCCTGTGCGCAAATGTTGAACACATTCTGCAAGCTGTGCGCTAAGCAGACACAGCAAACTGAAATGCTCCGCTGTACTGTGTATACCCTGTAAAATGGTATTTTATTGCGATAGATAATACGTTTAGATAACGAGCTGTGTTTCTTATCTGTTAATGGGCATTAAATTAAATTGAGTATATTTATGATAGTCTAACACATTTTTGTGGACATTAAATATTCGTTAAATTAATTCAAGAGTTTCCGGTCCATTGTTTGGTATCAATTCATCTTCTAAATTCCCATCGAACTGTTGCTCAACTCCAGCTGCGCTGCATTTACTGTTTACTGTTTAGTCGCAAGCTTTTATCGAAGCTTAGCATACTCTTGGGCACATGCAAGCTTTTGCTTATCAAACGCCTGGCAACCCTGGCAACCGCTTTCTTATAACTTGTTGCGCCAGTTTTGTTTTAGTTGCCGCCTGCATCTCGTACCACTCGCACGTCGCACAGTCCCCGCACACTCGCGCTCTCTCCACCTCTCTCGCGCTCCACAAGGTGGGTCTGTTGTTATTATTTACCTTCCTATGCATTACTTGGCGTAGGCGCGCAAAAAAAGAATAAAATGTATTTATAAATGCAACACGCATTCTACAATGTTGGATTAGTAAACATGGCTAACAGAAATGCTAAATTAACATTAAAAAAAAAATTGTTTATTTGGTATGCGGGCACGCCTAAGATAATTTGCATAATCTTCAACTGAAGATCGTTAACAGAAAAAAAAAAAAAAACAAAAGAAAAACATTTGAATGGATTCTACTGGAAGAAAATCTTCAGACCAGAAACTTTTCAGTAGAAAAAAAAAGACTAAATATATTTTAATTAACTTAATTAAAAAAACTACAATTTTGAATAATTCGAAAGCTTACACGTAAAAGGGAGTTTTTCCTTCTTTCTGTATTATAGTAAAGAATTTGTACCAAATGGAACTGACTTTAACAATATGTTAAATTTTCGTAGAGTATGCGTCAGACGCTTGATGACATAGTAGATTGTGCATATTACACTCGCGCAGCCTTACCTCGATTTACAAACATAGCTATATAGATACATATATCGTCATATCTATTTACGTCAACAACACCAAATCGGTTGCTCGACTGTTTGTCACGCACTATTCAAAGCCAAATTCTCTAGCAAAAAGTGAAATTTTTAATTAAATAATAGTTGAAATTACTTTCTTTGCATATATATANTATATATTTTTACTTTTTAACTTTTATATATTATATAAGAATAAACATACCAGATAAGAATTATAGTATAACCAGTATGAATAGCTTACTTACATATGTATCATATCATATCAATGAAACTGAAACTTCTGCTTTGAATGATTCTCTTTCATCTCTTATCTGATTCATTTTTCCCATTTCATTTTATATTTCTTATCTGGACAAGTAGATCTTTTACACTCGCTTCACGATGGGCAACCCAGTGTGGTTTATCTTCTGGCTTTTGGTCTTCTGGATCATCGCCTTGGCCGTCGCCTGCCTCTGTTCGTTCGCCTACATCATAGTCTATTCAATGGTTGTGTGCTTTCCGGGTCTATCGGTAAGGACATACATATGCATATATTTCTGCTAACGATGACATCATCTAAATGTGCATTATATAAATTATATCTCTGACTACTCATATACATAGTTTAGTTGCCGGGTGCGAAACACTTATCGCGCTTCGTAGATTTTTGTTCCATTACTCATTACTCACAAGAACTAAGCCAACTAGTCTTATGATAAAAAACAAAACAAAAAAAATCACCCACAAAACCATAAAAAAAAACACCCATAAAAAAAAAAAAAAAAAAAAAACCCGCAAAAATCAAAGCAAAACCTTTCTAATCACGCCTTTTCTATGCTTTATACAGGGTATCGCCGAAATACTGTTGCAGGGCCTACAGTTCCCGCATTATTGCGCAAAGGCCATGATGGAGTGCAAGCCCCCATTCTAAGTAACTTCGTAATTTATTATTATTCTTATAATCTAAGTGTAAATCGTTCAATTTATCAGACTTGTTTTATTAATGATAAATAATAATTATTTAATATATTTGTAAATGGTCTTTTGTTTTTGCTTTGTATTTGTTGTTGTTTAATAATCAATCTCTAGGCGATAACGTAGAGATAAGATAGAATGCTCATGAATGGAGTAAGGTCTTACACTAAAACTCGTCAACATGTAAGAGTGCTGCAGTCGGATACTGCCGACTGTCTGATACTCGTTCACGATCCCAAAATRGATACATTTAAATAAATAAACTTCAACTAGATATTTTACAATTTTCCATAAAGTTTATAGATCTACGCAAAACATCGTAGTCATTGATCTAAAACTGTGAAATCTTAACACTAGAATAGGCGAGGCTATATACGAATACGGAATATATATTTCCGAATTTCAGACAAATGGACATTGCACACAACCAATATACCCGCTTCAGAGCAACGTGAACGAGCATAAACAATTTTTGCTACAGAATCTCTTGCTAATGATAGAGAGGAGTATGAACTTTGAACTGTGATCATTGAATACGCCTCATTTGGTGGTCGAGGCAACTGTCGCATTCTGCTGACTGCCTCCAGGTGCGTCCAGCGAAGGTGTCGCCAGTGCTCCTGTTGCCGCCTGGTCAACTGTTGAGCCAGCGGGCAATGCATCGCGTTCGTTCAGCGCACGCAGCTCCAGCTCCCCAATTAGCTGCATCACGCGTATTTTGCCCTCGGTGGCCAGCTTGGGCGGCAGACCTTTGACCGTCGAGCAAATGCTGTCGAAGAAGAGATCCAGTGAGTCGCGCGGCTGCGACTCGATTGAGGTAAGGTGCTGCAGCTGATAGGACTGCATCTGCCGCGATGCATACGACTGCAGCTGCGGCTGCCGCAACGAATTGTAGCAGCCACTGGCAATGGGCGTTATGGTTGCCTTCGAGGTAATCTCATGGTTGCCCATGGGTGCACTCGTGTTCATCTTTGTGAGTGCCGATGCGGGCACCTTCTTAATTGTGATGCGGCACGGCTGAGGCGTCGTTGTGGCCGGCTGGGCAGCGGGCATTAGCTGGCCGTGGGGCATCTCATTGATGGTCACCTGCAGTGGCAGGTAATCCAACAGGCCGGAATGCTGAGAATCTGTTTCCGAAGTACGACGCTTGCTAGCCGGCTCATATTCAGCATCACCGTCGCCGCTTGCCTCTGGTTGTGCTTCTTCATTTCCTGCTGTGCCCTCGTCATCCTCGTCTTCCTCCTCTCCCTCCTCCTCACCGTCGGCCTCCTCATCCTCGTTGTCCGGCTCTGTTTTGCACAGCACGCTGCCCGTGGCAAACTGCATTGGCAGAAGGCTCTCATCGTTGCTCTCATCGTTATACTCCCACTTGATGCCACCGTTCGACTGGCTCTGAGTTTTCGATTTGACCGATTTGCGTTGAGCATTCTCCGAGTGTTTTATGCTGCCCTCGTGCTTGCCCAGATCGGAGCGTTTGGCGCTCAAGCGACATTCGCAAACGGCGCAGAATACAAAATGCGGATCAGTTTCATCGAGTATTATCCACGGATATATTGACTGATATTCGGGCTTTGTTTTCGGTCGTGGGTATTTGAGCATTGCGCATGGCCTGCGTGGCTTGTACTCCGAGCGCAATGCATCGCTGTGAATAAATTGATTCAATGTATATCCCGTTATGTCATGAATCGTTTCATTTTATTATTTACTTACAGCCTTTCCTGGGTTAATTGCAAATTAGACATTTATTTCTGCTTTCCACAAATATAAACAAAATCCATGTAGTGTGACCAAATTCGCAAGATCGAAATTTACTCACAATATACCAAAACACAAATATACCAAAAAATGGCGCTAGTGACGTAAGTAAAATTTGATGAAATTTGATCAGCTTCATTCATTCAAACAACAAATTTTCGTTTATTAACTTGGAATTTTATTTGGAAAAAAAAAAAAAATGATTCAACCTGCGACTTAGGCTATAATATTCTTAATATGAACATTATCAATATTAATCTGTTGTATCGTTTGATTGCTGAGTTGGTAATTTTGGTTGAATCTCTTTTTTTTTTTGAGTCGTCAGCCGCTCGTTGCTATCATATACCGGCTCGATAACATATGGATAAACGATGCCTGATTTGACGGCGGGCATTTGAACGTCATCTTGGCAACCGCAAGGATTTCCATCGTCTTTCTTATTGCAATCACATGCCCTTTGTAAATTACATGTATTAATAATAAAAAACTGTTTCACGACATACATACAATGTTGATTGTTGATCTTGTGAAACGGCATTCTTGTTATTGCAATTTTTTTTATCCATATTAATACTGGCCCCAGCGACCTTCTCTTTTTGTATATTGATAATCTAAAACGACCAAATTTGATATCGATAGTTTTTGAAAGGCATAAACTACTACTGCTGACTACTTTCACTAGTCATATATGGTTAGTGCTACTATCTCACCTGATTTTCGCTTCGCGCCTCGACTATCGGCATTGTTATGTGGACTGCTGGGATCGAAACGGCCAGGTGCTCCGCTCGCTCGAGGCGACGGTCCTTGGGAGAAATTGCGAATTCTGCGTATATTCTCTCGCGACCCAGTTCTATAACGTTCTGGCAGTTCGCTTGGTGGATATCTCTTTTGTGAAGTGGACTTCTCTGAGCTCCTGCGGTTCTTGCCCTGCCGATCGTCGACAGCGCTTTGTGTGCCGATTCGCTTCATTCTCGTATCATCGTTAGGATGTGGATGTCTGTAATGGGCTAGATTTTCAGTTGCTGTCCCTGGTCGATAGGCTCGATATTCGTTTGCGATCATCCTGCGAAATGCTTGCGGATCATTCACACGATCATTACGCCTCATATATCGATGGTCATCCATTTGGCTGTATGGCCGACGATGAGATCGCATTTCACTGTTTGAGCCCAGGTGACCAACAGGTGTCATATTGCCCGGTAGGTTAGATCTTCTTTGCGGGCGCATATGATCTCGATTCCCAAGGCCACGATCCCTAAAATATTCACTTTTCGCGTTCTGATAGTTGGACTGGTCGCCTACAAGTAAAATTGTAATGAATAGGGAATTTTCATTTTTTTCTTAGATTTGTATATGAAATCACCGTGCAACAGGTCTTCATCGGTGAAGTTGAATGGAGGGAATAGGGCGGATGTTCGCGCATCTCGAGAGGCAAAGTCATTATTTAAATAGGAAACGCTGGGGCCGGTGCCAACGGACCGATCATGACCGTATCGCGGTCCATAGTTGGGACCATAGCCAGCTCCATATTGTTCGAAGCCATTGCCTTTATTTTTTCTGTATTGATCCTCTGCCAGATCGGGAAAGAGAGTGTCCCACTGGTGATTGCCGGATGCTTTAATATATTAAATTTTTTCTCTAAATATATGAGGATATGCTTACCATGTAGAATATGGTAAAGGCTATAAGGCAGGCAAGCAAGAGAACAACGGTGAATTTCGTAAACTGCAGTGCCAGAAAAACGAATACAGCGATAACAATCTCAACCTGATGGACACCAATAAATTCCATAGATTGGCGTATTTCCGCAATTCTAATGGATTGCAAATATCTGATGAGCTTGTCAGCCGCTTCGCATGCCAAATGGTAAGTGTCAGCCATTCTGCATGTAGGATTTGACTGAGGAAACTTTTTACGTGTCAGCTACATGAAAACATTTTAATATTCTTAAGTCTACAAAACGGCAACATAAAAAAATTGTCGCATTTTATTTTTGAATTTCTTTTCAAAAGACTAATGTTTGTAACTATAAAATACCAAATAAGAGAATACTGAAATCACATACATGCCCGTGGCTATTTATCGAACTTCCGCCACATTAATCGATAATTGGCCTAACATATGTTTTGTAGAATTTGCAAAAATTTTAACAATAAGCTTAAGTCTAAACTGTAGTTAAGTATTAAATGCTACGTCGCACAATGGCCGAGTTCGACATTACTGCCGGCTTACAGCATGTACTGAAACGGATCGAGTCGGTGTTACAAAGTCGCCCTCAGGTACAGTTGCAATTGATAATAAAAGTAAACAAACGAAGGTCAAACATATCTATTTCTTATCAGGAAATTAATACACCGAAACCTCTGCTGGTGGCTGTTAGCAAAACAAAGCCCGTTGAGTGTATTATTGAGGCTTACAATGCCGGCCAGCGTCATTTTGGAGAGAACTATGTACAGGAGCTAGTGGAGAAGAGTCAACACCCGGACATTCTGGCCCAATGTCCGGATATCAAATGGCATTTGATTGGACATCTGCAGAGTAACAAAATCAACAAAGTAATTAGACTAAGAAGTAAATGTCGCTACAACCCTGATGTGTATAACATAACTATAACCAACAGGTGCTTAAGCTACCTAATCTGTACATGATTCAAACGGTGGACAGCGAGAAGCTGGCCAATGGAATAGATGCCGCCTGGGCAAAGCGACAGCCCGAGCCCACTGAGCCGCTGCGAGTGCTTGTGCAGGTCAACACCAGCGGAGAAGATGGTAAGAGTTACAGCTAGATCAAATAGGAGCTGTCTTAATTAATAAACACTTTTATCTTCTATCAATATAGTGAAGAGTGGCGTTGACGCCAGCGCTGCGCCGTCTCTTTATCAGTATATCAGCGATAATCTGAAGCATCTAAAGCCCTTGGGCATTATGACCATTGGCGCTTATGGTTTCGATTATAGCAATGGACCCAATCCGGACTTTGTAGCTTTGCTGCAGGTGCAACGGGAGATTTGTAAGGCCAATTCATTGCCAGCCGATGCGGTGCAAGTGTCCATGGGCATGTCGAACGACTATGACCGAGCGGTACGTAGTAAGCCAAGCAGTGGCTATTCTCGACTAGCTCTGTCATATATATGTATAGATTGATGTTTTTCTTCTTTCATTGCAGATCGAAATGGGCAGCACTATAGTGCGCGTTGGCACAGCTATTTTCGGACATAGGCCCAAGGCGAGCGAGTGAACAGCCAAAGGAATGTGGCACATACTAGAGAGCCAACGCTCTCTCTCACACTCTATACAGAATTTGAATGGCTACGTTTAATACAGCTGCTTCCCAATGACGTCTATGTCGACCAGGCTAGCAAAGCATAGGAATATTTCGTTTATTTACCATATATTGATATAGACGCCATATACTTAAGTGTAAAGAAATGTTATAAACTAAGCATATACAAATTTAATTTGCCTTGTAAATAGGTATATTTAGAATATCGGCGGATAAACAAATGTTATGCGTAGGTTGCGCCTTTCCTGTTACCTTTAGCAATTTTATTATAGTTGTAATTATGTTATTTTCATATTTCAAGATTGTTATCTTTGCTTTCGGAAATTGTATTCTAAAACACGATGGATTTCAATATTATTTTCGGTATCCCTTGAATATCTGCACTATTCTGCATTATTTTTAATTTGGCATAGAAGAAACTTATTCATCTTTTTCTTTCGCTTGGCTTGCAGCCAATGCGTCGCCTGGTTACATGCCAAATTTTGAAACGCTTTGAAATTTCGTTCAAAATCACTTTCAAAATAGCAACAGCAACAAAATACAATTTCAATTATGTCTACGTGATGATTTATCAATGCATTTTTGGACAGACAGCTTAAGGTCTTGTGTTCTCAAAATTCCATTCAATGTCTTCAGTTAGCTGTTGGGAAATTTGATATGTTGTGCGATTTTCAATATACGTGAAAAGTTTATTAAAATGATATATGTACATTTAAAATAAATAAAGGGGAATTTCATATTACAATTTTTGATAACACAAAGATATTTTTTTTTTATAAATTATCATATTAAATCACCATTTCTAACGCAAATCATGCTAAGGTGTAGAGAGTTGTATACAAACTATCCATTTGTTAAACAAATATTACAACGTTAAATTATTTAAAAAATATATATTT